AACTCATTTTCGATTTTCCACGTATGGCTAGGAACACATTCTTCAATCAGTTTCCCATGTAAATGTTACCATCACATTATAAACAACATCCTGGGGAATGTTAAATGCTAAATGCTCCTACCAGGATTCGAACCAGATACCTTCCGCTTACCCTTCCAAACTGCCCTCGTGCAAATCCACTGTGACAACTCGATCGACACCCATCGCCTCATACATAAGTGCGATATCGCTGGCCGCCAGAGGGGTCGCTGGTTGCGTTACTGCTGGATCCCCTGCTACACCTTCAGACTCCATGTGCCTGAACAAAAAAACCTATGTGAAAAACGCAATATGAAGTGAATTATGAAATATGTTTTTCACTAGTGTTTTCCATATCAAAGATGAAATTCAATTCTATGCATATGAATAACATTATTATGGAGTCTCACCCGTTTAACGTGAAGTGGTGTAATACTCCATGTGAATTTCCGATGATACAATTATTTTCGCCAAGTGAAATGTGAGTTTTTTTGTATTACGGTTGAAACTCCAATGATATCAAATACTCAAACAAAAGAAACCCGAAACCCGAATATGAAAACCCGAAACCCGAACTCCTACCACAACTCCGTCAACACTCACCTTCCATATGCAAAGTAGGGCGTAATCAACGTAATACTCTTTGCACTCGCACGACGTAACGCTGAAATCTGAATAACAATGCAGTTTAACGTGAAATGGGTTAATACTTATGTGAATCGTAAGACGTATATATTTACGCGACCGGTAATACGTTCGTTTTTCGCCAAGTGAAATGTGAAATATATTTTTCATATATCGCGAAAATTCCAATATTACTTATTATTGGAATTTCACCCGTTTTACGTGAATCACCGTGACATTCACGGTGATATGCAGTAGTCGTGAAATATATTTTTCACTAGTGTTTCACGACCGCCCGTGTAACTCTACCACACGAACGGAAAAAATAACTCACCATTAAACACGATTCCATAATTGCATCATGGAGGCACCTACTGCGAGAGACCCCACTCTTCTTGCTAATAGGAAATTGCTGAAAAAGGAAACATAAACCTTCTCCTGATGACACACTTATAAATTCAGTCACTGAACATTTCTAAAAAAAATTAATTTTTATATA